GAAATTTACTCCCAGGAGTAGAGTGGGGGCATGGAAGGGGAATTTAATTTTTACAAGGGAGAGTCTAATGAAGAACAGTAGGGCCAGAGTTACTCAGGTGAGGATTGTTGTCCATGGGCCTCTTGATGTTTTAAAAAAGAATTTAAAATGATGAAATCATGATAAATTAGCTGCAGAACTGTAGATTCAGGGAAAAATATGGGATGGATGACCAGAGAGCTACAGTGCCATCCATATCAAAAACTGTATATTTACTGCGCACAAAAAGTTGCGCTAGGTTTTGAATTCATTTCTCAAAATTTTTACCTCTATTGCCAGAAAAGATGCATAACTCCTCTATGAAGTACTCTTATAGTTGACATCTACATGGAGTGTGTTCGACTGCATTGTCTTGCAAAATGAAATGTCTGTGAAAATATGCCAAAAACTGTACTGGCTCTGACCAGCAGAACTAAAAACATGGAAAAATAAATCAATTCATAGAACAATTGCTGAATAAGGCACTGTAGCTTTCCAGTCTGTCAAAATATTTTTTGCGGAGAGCTACAGTTCTGCAGCTAATGATAAGTATATGACATATCTACACAGAATATATACTTTATATTGTATACATTATATATGTGAAAAGAAGTTTGAACACAAAAGATTTCAGGGCCAATCTTCTTTTGGGGGGGGGGGGGGGTCCTTTAATTTTAGTTTTTGAGTTGATGCCACTTTCTTTAAGCTAAATTGATGGTAGAGGTCTGTCTTGTTTGATCATGAGTTTTTGAAATGAAATAAAGCTATATCAAACATGATGCTTGTCTTGTTTTCAATAAAAGTCACATTGATATGTTATTTATGTGGAAAAAGCACTAATGTGTTTTTACTTTTTAATACTTTAAACCAACTTTTATTTGCGACGACTTTATTTCACGATTTACCGGGGTGAAAATAGTTCGAGACAATTAAGTTTTGCAAGCAAGCCTATTTTGATCCATTGTTAATAGACACAAAGACTTTAAGGGCTGATTCGTGGCAAGAAATATTCGCGATGATGAGGCTCTCGCGAACTTTGTGAAAATTTCTCGCCCACGAATAAAAGTTGGTTTACAGTAATTGTAGCACATTTGGCCGTGCATATAATGTTTGTTAAGATGCTCCTTAAGGTCAGACGAGACGTTCCTCAAAATCTGTATTGTATATCTTCAAAATGTATGAAAAATATTCAAAATTTTAATAACATTCTGATTTCTAAACCAGTTTCTAAACGTTTTTAAAACATCCAAACACTTTAACATTTGAAATTCAAATATTATTTTTCTTCTTCAAGGGATTATATAAGAAAAACTACCCCTGGTATCTTGCAGAAATGCCTGGTAAGGTACCTCAATTTTATGTGAGTAAACATGTTTAAGTAGCAATACTTCAATGACAGACTCTTAGAAAAATTTATCTATTATAAAGGAACGTCTCGTCTGTCCTTAAGTTTCCACAGTTCTATTAAATGTTCTGATGTATAGATAATTCTTATTATGAATTAATGATAGAATGTAAATAAAGCATATAGGTAGCAAAGGAAATCCCTGTATATTGTTAGCTCACCTGAGCTAAAGGTTAGATTAAACTTGTGTGGTTGAAGAAGACATCTGTTTGTTGTGAATTTGTAAACTATTCACAAATTGTAAGAACCGTTGTGTCAATTTTAAGAAAACTTTCCACAAAGCACCCTTGAGTAAAGGGGATTTCAGTTTATCCATAGGAAATGCTACACCTTCTTTGAAGGGGAAATAATCAATGCATGAAAATTAAGTGAAATCTTTAAAAATAGCCTCAAGAATATCAGGGCCAGAAAGAGAATGTCTCAAATAAAATTAATTTGGAAACATCCCTATGTGAGGTAATTTTAGGTTAATGGTGTCTGAACAAACAGTCTGTATAACATTTAAATAGGTACATGTAATCATAAGTTGTCATTGTTGTAAACTTTGAACAATTTCCATTCTTCTCCTGAACACTGGGCCAATTTCAACCAAACTCCGCAAAGCGTTTCCTTGGGAAAACGGAATTTAAGTTTGTTCATATGAAGGGTCAAGCCCTCGACCAAGGGGAGATAATTACAATACACGTATAGCCAAAATTATTGGCAACATTGAAAAATCTTGTCAAGAACTGATGGGCCAGAAGAGATGAAACTCATGTAGAAGCATCCTCAGGTGGTGAAGATTCAAGTTTGTTCAAATCATAACCCCTAGGAGTAGAGTATGACCATAAAGGACAATCAATTATTAACATGGCGTTTATCATCTCAGATGAACAGCAAAGCCATGGTTGGTCAAATTAATTTATGCAAATACATCCTCTTACTTAACGGTTTAAAGATTTAAGTTTGTACAAATCAAGACTTTCAGGGCTAGGGTAGGCTACTATGGATATTAAACAAACTAAGTGTATGGTTATGTTGAAAAATTGCCTCTTTCAAAATTAACAATTTAATGTACCCAGGGTCAGAGGTTCTGGTGTTGGGTGGGGCTCTATTGAATATGTAGCAAAAATGCATAATTATACCCCCGCTCAGAAGGAGAGGGGGGTATACTGTTTTACCGTTGTGTGTCTTTCAGTCTGTCTAGCTGTCCGTCTGTCTCTCCGTAACAAATTTTCGTCTCAGTTTTCTCAGTAACTACTATAGCAGATGCTGCAAATTTTTCCACATTCTTATCTCAAGAATCCCTATGGTGGGAATCATTTTGTTTGAAATTTAGATGTCAACTCCCTATGGACTATGCATCTATCTGTATTTTGCCTAACAAATTTCATTGGTCATAAACTAATTGCAAATGGTGTCTGTTATAACACTTTCATTTGCTGAGGCATGCCATATCTTGAGAACACTTTGAGCTTTTGTCAACTTCCTGTTAATCTGTTCGTCTGTCTGTACCATGCATAACCTTAAATGAAAATAAATACTTAAAAAGTTACATTTCCCTAACTGTAGTATAATTATTCACATAAAAGTGTACATTCATTTCAGAGCTGGGGTATTACCATGATTACTAGTGAGCATTCGCTCACAGATTTCTTGTTTAAAAAAAAATTTCTCTGCCCCTGGGTATTAAATCAATGACCTATGTACATATTTATGGTGAGTAAGGATGCTTCTTCCCAATTTTTAAATTTCAGGGCCCCTCGGTTAGGAGTTCTGGTGTTATGGCAGGTTGCTAATGATTATATAGTGAAAATGCATAAATTCTTTGAAAATCTTTTCCTTTGCCCTTGGTATTATGCCACTGATCTAAGTAAATATTAATGATGAAGAAAGGTGCCTGTTTTAGAATGGTTAAATTCAGAGACCCTGATGTTTAATCTGAAAGTAAATTTATGCTTTGAAATCTGATCTTGGTATTAATCAACTATTTAGGATGAAATAAAATTTATGATAAATTTTCGAAAATTCTGAAATATGTGGCCTCAGGGTCAGTGGTTCCTGTGGGGGTGTGGTGCACATTGAACTGGTGGTTATGAATTGGAAATGTATATTGTTACATGTACTCTGATCTACCCCTGGGTATTAAGTAACCAAAGTAAGCATGCTAATTGTATAATTATGATAAACAATGGTGCCTCTTTCAAAATTGTGATTTTCCTGGCTTTTGCATGGTTTTTAGCTCAAGTGAGCGGATGGCTCAAGTGAGCTTTTCTTATCACATTTTGAACGTCATCCGTCCGTCTGTCTGTAAACTTTTCACATTTTTGACTACTTCTCAAGAACCACTGGGCTAATTTTAACTAAACTTGAAACAAAGCATCCTTGGTTGAAGGGGAGTTTAAATTAGAGAAATGAAGGGCCAAGTCCCCTCCCAAGGGGAGATAATCAAGAACAGACAAAAATAGGGTGGGGTCATTAACTTTTTTTATGTATATATATATATAAATTTTAGTCATCAAGTTTTTGATGGATTACAAATCAGATTTTCATAGGTTTATTTTATGTTCATAATAAAGCTCTACTTATGTTATGCCACTTATCAACTGAAACAAAAATTTAAAAAGGAATAGAAATAGGGTGTCAAAGTTTTTTTATTTTTTTTAAAAATTTGAAACTTGGAAAAATCTTTAAAAATCTTCTTAAGAACCACTGGGTCAGAAAAGCTGAAACCTATGTGGAATGTGGTGCATTTTCAGGTAGTGGTAGGCAACTGCAAACAAACTATTTTTTTATTCAAAGGCCTTGGAGGTTGGGTGGGGCCACAATGGCTGAGTATATAGGAAATCTTCTCAAGTAGTGTAGATTCAAGTTTGTTGAAATCAATTGACCCCCCGGGGGTAGAGGGGAGCCAAAATGGCCAACCAAAGTTTTTACATTTTGTATATGAAACTTCTGGGGAAACATCCTCAGGCAGTGTACACTTAGGTGTATTGTTCATCCATTTCCATCCGTTGGTGTGTTAACATTTGAGCATTTTCAAAGTTTTACATAAATATATATAGGAAAATTTTTAAAAATCATCTATGGGTGAAGGGAAAGCCATATTTGATCATATTTATATAGAAGCATACTCAAGTTGTGTAGATTCAAGTTTGTTCAAATCATGACCCACAGGGGTAGGGCGGGGCACAATGACAGATCAAAGTTTTTATAGCAATACAAATTTAAAAATCTTTTTTCGAAGTAGGCCAAGCCTTATTACTTATATTTATATGGAGGCATTCACAGGTTGTGTACATTCAAGTTTGTTCAAGTCATGACCCCTGGGGTAGGGTGGGGCCACAATGGGCGATCAGAGTTTTACACAGACATATAAAGGAAAATTCTTAAAAAATCATCTTCTCAAGAATAGCAAAGCCATGATTGGTCATGGGACTTCTTTTGGATTTAAACTTTTCAGTGATAAACCAATTTCTACTTTTTCCTTGCCACAATGCTCAGGTGAGCGATGTGGCCCATGGGCCTCTTGTAGTTTTAGGAAAATATTAGTTACTGTTTCATTTGATATGGAAAATGTTCTGTTTTATTTTTGTAGATGCCAAGGAAAAAGGCCTTGAGTGGTAGACAGAATCGTCTTAAAGACAAGATTCGTAAGAGGGAGAAGAGGCAGAAGCAGGCCCTTCCCTTGTCAGATGTCCCACCAGATGATACAGAAGCAGAAGCTGATGTCTCTTGCTGGACAGTAGATGGGGCTGTTACAGCTCCACCCGGTAATTTTCCGGGGCAAGGCTTTATAGGGTTGCCGCCTATTGAGGAAAAACCCTTGGCCAGGTTGCAGGCCTCTCTTCGTGAGAAAATGCAACCAACTGCCCTGAGTAACGCATCTTCTCAGGGAAGTCGTCTGTGTGCCCGAAACGGAGGCATGGCACCGTCCCCTGACTCCCCACCGTGGGTTTGTACCTCGCCGAGGGTACCTGAGCCGGACACCGTGCACGTGTCTGGCTCAGCAGGTCAGGCGCAGCTGGATATGTCATCCTCTAAGGGGGATGAGTCCAGCAGGATATTGATTGATGCAAACCAGAGTAAAAGAACGAGATCTAAAAGGAATACTAAAAGGAATTTACATGATGAAAATGAGAATTTGTACAATGTATATGAGAACAGTAAATCAGAATGTAGAATTCCAAGACCTTGTGATGGTGGACCAGCTAATGATTGCATTGGTGATAGCAGACCAGAAACATCTATCAAGGTATCAGTTCAAGGTTCTTTTCATCAGGGTAACTTGATGTTTGGTGAAAATGCAGGAACACAATGTGTTGCCAACTCCTTAGCAGCATTAGCATATCATAAAATTAAAAACTCAAAACAATGGCAAACTTCAGATATGAATAAAGTGTTAACAACAGGCGATGAGCTTTACACATACTTGCAGCGTAGTTCAACCATTGTTAGTAGATATCTTTTAGTTGATGAGTTGCCACAATTTTTTGAGTGTTTTGATACAATGTTTGAGTTCAAAGCACATGAACCTTTATGCAGTCTGATAAATTTGTCTGATGTAGAGCCAAATTATGAGGAATTTAATGCGCATTCACTGTTAGATGCACTGGAGATTGCTCTTGGAGATTCAAGTGGGTGTTTTGTGTGTTTCAGGGGAAATACATTTTTGGTGGGAAAAACAGAAGATGGTTATTTTACATTTGATTCACATTCAAGATCATCATCAGGGTGTATGAGTTTAAATGGAAAGAGTACAAGGATACTATATCAATCAGTTTACAACATTTACAATCACATACTGTCATTAGCATTGTCAATGGGATTTTCTGGAATTACTGATTGTGAAATAACAAGTGTGGATTGTTCAGTGAGGCACTTTGCATCTACTGATAAAACTGAGCGCCTAGAAATCATAGAGAAAAATGAAGAGCAAAATTTGACATTCCAAGAAAATGCAAACATCTCTAATGTACATACTGAGTCAGTTGAGGATGATGATGTTGAGTTTGTTTACAGTGAAAGTCAAAACATTAGATTTTGTCCAATATCTCAAGGTATGAAAGAACAACTTTGTCAGATAATGGGAATACCACATACAAATAGAATTGATAATGATGTACAATATTGTCATGTTCAAGAAGTGGGTGCACCGCTTGAGTGTGTTGAAATTCAAAGGGATGGTAATTGTTTCTTCAGGGCTATTTCATTTTGTTTGACTGGAGTGGAGAATTATCACTTAGCAATTCGATCAGCAGTGTGTCAACACCTTCTCCACAATAGTATATTGTTCAAACCTTTTGTTAGACATGCAGAAAGTTCTGTAGAAAATCATTTTTCTCGAACAAAGATGTCAAATGATGGTTCATGGGCAACTGAACTAGAAATATTGGCTGTTTGTCATCTATTGAGTATTGATATACACACATATACAGAAAATCATTGGATTACATACTCAAGACGATTGATGGAACCTTCTACAAATACTCAGTCCATAGGATTCATTTATCTAGATCATGAGAATCTGAATCATTATAATGTAGTGCTGACAGTTGCTGAGAATGAAACAATTGGTTCCGTAAAAACACGCACTGGTAATGAGAGATACAGGAAAAGATGCAGAAATCGAAACCGCATGAGGAATGTACGTGTCAGTTCTTCAACAAAAAATTTAACCAAAGATCATGAATTGAAACTAAAGAATGTAAATTGTAAGGAAAAGAAATTAAGATCAAAGAGACTTAAGTACAAGACTGATTTGAAATTTAGATTAAAGGCAATAGCAGATGGAAAAGATAGATATAGATGTGATGAAATTTACCAAGCAAAAGCAAAAGAAAGGAGTGTGGAAAAATACTCTTTGGATGCAAAACACAAGTTGAAACTGAAGGAGGCAAACAAAAGAAAGTATAAAACTGATGAATGTCATAATCAATATATGAAGAAAAGAAGCATTGAGAAATATAGTTCAAATGTAGTGCATAGAGAGAGTGTAAAAGAGAGAAGTACAGAGAAATACAAGAATGATGAACTGCACAGAATGGATGTTAGGCAACGAAGTACAGAGAAGTACAAGAATGATGAAGTACACCAAATGGATGTTAGGCAAAGAAGTAAAGAGAAGTACAAGAATGATGAAGTACACCGAATGGATGTTAAGCAACGAAGTACAGAGAAGTACAAGAATGATGAACTGCACAGAATGGATGTTAGGCAACGAAGTACAGAGAAGTACAAGAATGATGAAGAACATAAACAGAAGGTAAAGACTGCTAATAAAATGAAATATCATTTCAGTGCTGATGACAAAAAGAAGAAGAAAGAGGCAGTTTTTAATCAGAGACAAAAACTGAGAGTAAAGCTTGAAGATGAAGAAGAAGTTTTGACATTTTTTAGGGAAAGTGTAAGAAATGGTCCAGAATACACATGTTGCTGTTGTCATCGTTTATTGTTTGAACACCAAGTTCAAGGATGCACTCTTGAAATGTACAAAGAAAGACATCAAGCACATGAACTTGCAAAGGCATGTGTACAGGAGAAATACTGTCATGAGTGTACATTGTCTTGTCCAAAGCATTGCCCACAGTCATCATTGTGGATATGTTTTACTTGTCATAGGAAAATATTAAGTGGTAATGTTCCAGCAGAGGCAGCTGTAAATAAAATGTCACTGGAGGAAATTCCTAATGATCTAGCCAATTTAAACAGTTTGGAGCAGCATTTAATTGCTTTACATATTCCTTTTATGAAAGTGATGGCTCTTCCACAAGGTGGTCAAAGAAATGTACATGGGCCTGTTGTTTGTGTGCCATCAAATATAAAAAAGGCAACAAGTTTACCAAGAAGTTACGATGACAATCTCTTATTAAGAGTTAAACTGAAACGCAAACTAGCTTACAAGGGATATTTTGAATACCAATTTGTCAATCCAAATCACATAAAGATGGCTCTTGATTATTTAAAGAAAAAAAACAAATGGTATCAGGATGTTGAAATCAATACCAATTGGGCGGGAAATAGTGACCAAAATGATTTGCTACCAAAAGAGACCATTGACCAAGACCAAGAGAAATTTGAAGATGAGGAAATGAAAGAAGGTGAGATTGATCAGAGTACAGAGGTTGTTACTGATACATGCTTACAGCCTGTGGATGTTGCGCAAGAAGTTCTCGATCATTACTTTGATGACATTTACAATATAGCACCAAGTGAAGGGAAAAATCCAATTCGAATGTTGCAAGAAGAAGGTAACGAAGCAAAGACTTTTCCACATTTATTTCCAAGTGGAAACTTTTCTTGGAATGAAAATCGAGATGTAAAGATAACCCTATCAAGGTATTTTAACAACAGACTTATGAATGCAGATAACAGATTTGCTAAAGACACAAATTACATTTTCTTCTCTCAATACATGTCTGAATTGAACCAAGTAATCGAGAAAACACAAATTTCAATCCGAAAGTCTTTATCAAAGCTTGATAATGGAAAAGCAATGACAGCTGAAATGTTACAGAATCCAGATGTTCTGTCTAATCTCCTTAAGAATAATGAGGCTTTACGCTTTATGCAACCTATTCGAGGAACTCCTGCATATTGGTCAGCTACTCAGAAAGATCTTTTTGCCATGCTTCGACAACTAGGAATTCCAACTTGGTTTTGTTCATTTTCGGCGGCTGAGTTCAGGTGGAATGAAATTATTGGATCAATATTGCATCATGATAATGATCCTAGATCCCCTTCTGATTTAGACTGGTCAGAGAAAAGTGAAATTTTGAGAAGCAATCCAGTAACTGTGGCAAGAATGTTTGAACATAGATTCCATATGTTTCAAAGGCATGTAATTTTGTCACCATCAAAACCAATAGGGAATGTTATTGATTATTTTGTGAGAGTAGAATTTCAACAAAGGGGTTCTCCACACATGCACTGTTTGTACTGGGTTGAGAATGCACCGAAATTTGACGAAGACAATGAGGAAACTGTTTGTGATTTCATTGATAGATATATCACATGTGGTTTACCTTGTGAAAATGATGATGCAGAGCTTCGAGGTATTGTTCTAGATGTTCAACAACACAGCAAGAGTCACTCAAAATCATGTAGGAAAAAGGGAACAGATTGTAGGTTTCACTTTCCAAGACCACCATCAGAAAGAACATTTATTACAAGGCAATGTGAAAAAGATGTTGAGGACTGTGAGAATGGCAAAGGGTTGAGTAAATCTCAAGCAAAATATATTCTGTTACGTGTTTGGAATGAAGTTCTTGATGATATGAATGGATGCAAAACAACAGAGGAAATATTCTCCAATATACAATTATCTCAAGATATTTATGAAGAAGCACATAGGGTATTATCTGCAAATTTAACTACTATCTTGAAACGAAATCCAGATGAAATGTGGACAAACCAGTACAACGCATGCCTTCTGAAATGCTGGGATGCAAATATGGACATACAGTATATCCTTGATCCATTCAGCTGCATTGTGTATATAATTTCATACATTTCAAAGTCAGAACGGGAAATGGGAATGCTGTTGAAACAAACGCAAGTAGAATCTGCAGAAGGAAACTTAAGTGCTCGTCAAACGATGAAGAAAATTGGATCAGCTTATCTCAATCATAGAGAAGTAAGTGCCCAAGAAGCAGTATACAGAATCTGCAATCTAAAAATGAAAGAGAGTTCTAGAAAAGTTGTTTTTGTTCCTGTTGGTGAAAATCCAACTCGACTGAGTAAACCTCTTTCACAAATAAAAAGTGTACAAAATGGTGAAATTGATATGGAAGATGAAGATGACAGCATTTGGATGACAAATATAGTGGAAAGATATGAAAGTCGTCCAGATTTACTTCCTTTTCCTGAAATGTGTCTTGCAGAATTTTGCTCCGAGTATCGTGTTCTTGCAAAATCTCAGATTCCCCATGGAGAAAAAGAAGGCGTTTATAAATTAAAGAAAGGTCATGGTTACATTCAGAAAAGAACAAGAGCTAAGCCAGCTGTAGTAAGATATCCCAGATTCAATCCAGAAAATGCACCAGAAAAGTATTTTCAATCAATACTGCAACTTTTCCTTCCGTATTGGACTCAAGATCAACTGAAACCGCATGGATTTGACTTTTATCAGACATTTTTTGAAAATGGGTTTGTGAGAATAGGAAGTGAAAACAGGTTGCAATCTGTCAGAAGTGTAGTTGAAAAAAATAGAGTAATATTCTCAAAGAATGAAGATGCCCTTGAAAATGCGCAAGAAACTTTAGAAATTTATGGCGAACCTGAAGATGCTTGGGCTAACCTGTGCCCAGAAACTGAAAAGAATCGCGAAGAATGTCTTAACGAAAAGAGGAGAACAGAAAAATCAGAAAATAGAGAACCAGAAGTCACTCATGAAATTGAACATGACAACTCTTCGGATGTGATATATCATATTAGGGAAACTTCTACATCAAGACAAGAAATCCTTCCTTTTTTGCGAAGTTTAAATGAAAAACAAAAGCAGGTTTTCTACTTGGTTCGTGAATGGTGTTTGAAAAAAGTGGCTGGGAAGAAAATAGAACCATTACATATTTTTGTGACTGGAGGTGCAGGGACAGGAAAAAGCCATCTGATTAAGACTATTCAGTATGAAGCCTCGAGACTTTTAGAGAAAACGATTTCGTCTCCTTCAGATTTGTCTGTTCTTCTAACAGCTTTTACAGGAACCGCAGCTTTTAATATTGGGGGAAGCACAATTCATCACGTATTTTCCTTAGCTAAAGCTCTACGCATTCCATACGAACCTCTGCAAGAACAAAGTTTAAGTGCAATGAGGTCAAGGTTAGCTTCTTTGCAGATTTTAATCATTGATGAAGTATCTATGGTTTACAAGCGACTCTTGTACTACGTTCACGAACGCCTGGTGCAAATCAAAAAATGCAGGGAACCCTTTGGTGGTATTTCAGTTATAGCTGTTGGAGATTTTTACCAACTACCTCCTGTGAAACAACGAAAGGTGGAAATATTGTACGAAGAAAATGGTGAATATCCTGTAGATTACTGGTTAGACTTCTTCAAAATCGTTGAGTTGGAGGAAATAATGAGACAACGCGACGACGCTGCATTTGCTTCAGTTTTGAATTCACTGAGGATTCGAACAATAGAGGAACCACTATCGGAAGAGGCAATATCAATGTTAAAAGAATGCATTAGGAAAGGACCAGATGAAGCACTTCATGTATATCCTACAAACGAAGAAACAAATGAACATAATCTGAAGATGCTGCGATCAAACTGTGGAGAATTGATAGAGATTGCTGCTGAAGATTATCAGAAAGACAATACTACTGGAAAGTTGACTCTACGTGAGAAACCCTTCATAAGGACAAGAACAGATGGGCTCTCTGCTTCTTTACTTTTTTCAATAAATGCAAGAGTAATGCTGACGAGAAATATCAATGTCGAAGATGGACTTGTAAATGGTGCAATGGGGCATATTTCAGATTTTGAGTATGGAGAAGCTCAGCAAATTAACAGAGTAGAAGGAATTAGAATAATTTTTGATAGTGAGGATGTTGGAAGACTGCAAGGAAAAAAGACAAGCCATGGAAATGAGGTATTGATTCAAAGATTACAAGAAGACATCAAGGAGAAAAATACAAAGAATGTTGTTCGTCACCAGTTTCCTTTGAAACTTGCATGGGCATGTACAGCACATAAAGTTCAAGGCATGACAATAAACAGAGTTGTTGTAAATTTAGACCGCACTTTCGCCCCAGGACAGGCATACGTTGCAATAAGCCGTGTCACTTCACAAAATGGTTTATTCATAGAAACAAAAGATGAAAATGCATTGCTAAAGAAAATTTACGCTAATCCAGAGATAAAATCAGCACTGCTAAAGATGGAAAAATTAATCCCCAAAGACGTTTGTCCGCAATGCTGCACTGAAAAGGGAAGTTTCATAACAATTGTTCTGCTTAATGTGCAGAGTTTAAGGGGACATATTCTAGACCTAAAAAGTGATACCAGATTGCTCCAAGCAGACTTTATATGTCTTACAGAAACATGGCTGATGGACAATGAGAGTATGAAGGACTTCGAAATTCAGGACTTTGAATTCAACCACACCACAAGAAAGCAGTCATACGATGAAAGTATGAATGGTTTTGCTAAACTTAGATCAGCCAAAGGAGGAGGTGTCGGTATTTACAAGAAGAAAAAGGAAAACGCTCTAGTTTGTGATTTACCTGAAAAAAATATTGAGGGAATGGCTATAGAGCTTTACGAGGAAAACACTGTAATCATAGTTGTATATCGACCAAGTGTTCTCAGTATCAGATGCTTTCTTGATGGTCTAAAAAAGATTGTAGACTTTTTCAAGGTACGGTATTCCCATTGCATTGTACTTGGAGATTTTAATGAAGATGCACAATTTGATGGACCGATTCAAAGAATGTTCGAGATTAGTGGATTTCTACAGAAAGTACACTTTGCAACAACAGAGGGCAATACTATACTAGATCATGTATATATCACAGAACAGATGGAAACAAGTGTAGAGGTCATGCCAGTTTATTATAGCTATCATAAGGCTGTGATAGTGAATTTAAAACAACACTAAATGAATTATGTTGGGTTTTCATCTGGGTAGAATTAATGAATTATATATATGCGGTTTCACTATTTGCTACATATTCACTATAAAGGGCACTGGTTTATCTCTGAATCAGAATTTTATCATCAGTTTTAATATTGCAAAAAACATTTAAAATTAGTGATGGAGAATTTGAAAAAGATCATAATCGATTATCGGTGTTAATCGGCTGGGCATATTTGATTAATAATTGATTATAATCGAAATTTTGAACTTTAATGAAATTGATACAGAAAAGTTAAAACTTATTCAGATTTCTGTCAGACTTTTACAAAAAAAAACATTTACTTAAATAAAATATTCAAGAATGTTGAAATTTCTTTTTTTAAAATTGGAAAATAATATTTTGTTTACTTTAAACAATATAGGACTATTGAAACAGAATGGGAAGTTATTTTTTACAAAGTCCATGCAATGGGTATTTTACTGATATTAGTCCCACCTTTCATTTAATACTTGTACGTATTTATTTCTTAAAATTAGTTTTAATCAGTTAAAAATGCAAGTTTTAAAAGTAATTATCCAGAAGTTAGACTTGTATTTATGATTATAATTACCTGGTACGTTTAAAGATTGACGAGACTAATTATGTTTTCCTTTACTTGCAATATTACCGTTTGCTGGTATTAGTCTAAACTCATATTTAATCATGGCGGTAAAAGTATCAACAAGACATGGGATCCTTCCATGTTTTCAACATTCATCACTACTTTTATGCTCTTTGCACTTGGATTTGGTAATAAAATTAAAAGTATGACAATTTTATTTTCTGTTAGCAATGTCGGTGACATTTATTTTATAATCGATTAGTAGCATCGAAGAGCTTCTAACGATTGACAATCGATTGTTGTCGACAATCGTTCCATCACTATTTGATATCACGAGTTTTTTTTTTAAACGACCTCACATACTCCTGTTTCTTCATGGAATAGATTCAAAAATTGATAACTAGGAATAAACTTGATTGCTTCAATTAAATTTTTGGTATTTCAGATTTATTAAATACAAGAGGCCCAAGGGCCTTGAATCGCTCTTCTGATAAATTGTACAACCTATCACTTGTATTTGAAGCCTCCAACCCTAAGTATCCTAAGACCAAAGATGCATCACCTGACAAAGTTTGATGATTCTTAGCCAATGAGGACTACTTCTTGGTCTACATTCTTGGAAAATCCAAAATGCATCAACTGACACAGTTTGATTATTCTAAGCCAATAAATACCTAAGATACTTAAATATAGCCATAAAATGTCGAAAGTAGGTCACCGTGACCTAATTTTTGGTCGACATTCTCCAAAACCCAAGATGCATCAACTGACAAAGTTTGATGATTCTATGCCAATAAGTACTGGAGATACTTAAATATAGCCATAAAATGTCGAAAGTAGGTCACCGTGACATTTTTCAGAGTCCCAAGATGCATCTGCTGACTAAGTTTGAAAATTCTAAGCAAATAAATACCTGATATATTCAAAAGTAGGTCAGTGTGACCTACTTTTTGGTCGACATTCTCTGAGAACCCAAGATGCATCAACTGACAAAGTATGATGATTTTAAACCGATAAGCACCGGAGATACTTAAATATAGCCATAAAATGTCGAAAGAAGGTCACAGTGACCTTATTTTTGGTCGTCACTCTCCAAAAACCCAAGATGCATCAACTCACAAAGCTTGATGATTCTAAGCCAATAAATACCTAAGATACATAAATATAGCCATAAAATGTTAAAAGTAGGTCACCATGACCTACTTTTTGGTCGACATTCTCCGAAATCCCAAGATGCATCAACTGACAAAGTTTGATGATTCTAAGCCAATAAGTACCGGAGATACTTAAATATAGCCCTAAAATGTCGAAAGTAGGTCATCGTGACCTAATTTTTGGTCGTTACATTCTCCGAAAACCCAAGATGCATCAACTGACAAAGTTTGATGATTCTAAGCCAATAAGTACCGGAGATACTTAAATATAGCCATAAAATGTCGAAAGTAGGTCATCGTGACCTAATTTTTGGTCGTCACTCTCCGAAAACACAAGATGCATCAACTCAAAAAGTTTGATGAATCTAAGCCAATAAATACCTAAGATTCTTAAATATAGCAATAAAATGTTGAAAGTAGGTCATTGTGACCTACATTTTGGTTGACATTTTTCAAATACCTAAGATGCATTTACGGACCAAACTTGATGATAGTAGGTCTGAAGGTAATCAAAATATGCCTTTTAAACAATTTGAAAACATATGCCTGCAAAATTCTAAAAGTAGGTCACAGTGACCTACTTTTTCATAAATATGTTTTAAGGTCCGAAGATGCAGCAACTTACATGATTTGATGATTCTTACCCTTTCAGTGCCTGAAATAATGGGATTAAATGTTTTAAAAAGGTTAAGTCATCAAGTTCAAAAAGTAGGTCACGGTGACCTACTTTTAAGTTGACGTTGTTCAAGGACCCAAAATGCATCAACTGACTAAGTTTGATGATCATAGGCCTTAAAGTGTCCAAAATATGCCTTCAAATCAATTTGAAAATAAATGCCCGAAAAATTAAAAAAGTAGGTCACCGTGACCTACTTTTGAGTTAACATGATGTGAAGTCCTAAGATGCATCAACTTACAAGATTTGATGATCCTAGTCCTTATAGTAAGCAAAATATAAACATTTTTATTAATTGTAAATTTAGGTCAACTTTAAAGTGACCTTGAGACCACGCCCTTTGCCCCAGGGTCATGCCTTGAACAATTTTTAATCTTCAACATATCCTGATCCTTGTATGTAAGTGTAAGTTTGGTGAAAATCTGCCTGGCGGTTCTGGAGAAGAAGATTTTTTAGCAACTAGTACTTTTGGTTTTGTTTTCCTGATTATCTCCCCTTGTTTTAGGGTCCCAACCCTTATTTTAGTATAAATATTAGCCCTTAGGCCAAGGATACCCTGTGGTAAATTTGGTACTGATTGGCCAAAGGGTTCTTGAGTTATGGCCCATATTCTAAAAAGTTAACGCACACCGCACAAATGGCCATAGCATTAGCTCTTTGAGCCTTTGGCTCAGAAGAGCTAATAACATAATGATTTTGTAATCGGTATGTGTATTGATGCTTGATTTATGCATCATTCAAATTTAAGATTATATTTGTATTAACTCATTGATGTAGTGCTTCTGATATAATGATTACATATTGAATAGAAACTCGTATATATATGGAAAACATTAAACCTACAGCATGTACAGGTTGGGGACAATGAAGTAACGATATCATAGTCGCACATTTGATTTTATGATTCAGAAGAAATAAGTTGTGACAACTGATTTTTAAAAAGTATGCAAATTGTCTTCATTAATTTTGCTTTTGATGGACATATGTATAATGTCACTGGCATTGAACCAAAAGTTAAAAAGAAAAACGAGACAAGGGAATATATTACACAAAGGAAGGTAAAACCTTTAATTGTTGTTCCAGTTGGGGCCATGCAGTGATACAAATTTTGTGAAGTTGGTCAAAATACAGAATTAAAAATTTTTTTAAACTCTTTTAATATATATTCATCTTTTTAATGTGTGTTAGGTGAATGTGTAGAAATTGTTCTAAAATATACTTGAAACCTAAAATAATAATTCCTATCATAAAACAAACGGGGAGTATTGGGAAGTGAGGTAAGATTCTTCAATTAAGCGTAAAATAATTTTCTGGCTGCCAAATTTAAAGCGATACTACATGCCTGTATATATTTGTATACCGGGTACTTGTTTTAAGAGTTAAAACATTTTTTAAGGCTATTCACTAGTCAGCCTATTGTTTATTTCTTCCTGAAATGGACTTACATATAACTATTTGTCTTCTCCCATAGTTTTATTCATTACATCAAATGCATAAGCAATCCTTTTCTGAAGAATTATGCTAGGATTGTTAGCTATAAAAGAGACCTAAACATTGTCTTTGGAAATAGCTACCAGTGGCAGTTTTAAACCTGTGGGAGGAAAATAATTTACAGACATGCAAATAATTATCTCACCAACACGTCACTGTGCAACGAAGTCGTCAGCATTTTATTTGCCCTCTGAACGGATGAAACGTTTTGAATGGCACTCCTATCGTGAATTTCTTTTCACTAAACGAAGCTAGGTTGCTGCTATGGACTTCGCTGATCTACCTTTATTTACCTGCCATGTGGATTCATCTTAAAAACCGGAAGTATGAGTTCGTAAATTTGAAATCTCGATCCCAACTCAAATTGACATCGGAAAGAAAAAAAAAATGTGTTTTTCTCAATTTTATTTTTTCCTAAGAATTCAAAATCTTGATCACCGGGTTTGTTAACATTAAAAAAAATGCTACGTTTATTTTCATTTAATATACTTTAAATTTTCCGATGATATGATTACAAAAAATGTATAGGTCACCATATCATTGATGATTAGAGACATAAATAAAGAGAAGTATATGTCAACGAAAAAATCGCACATTTTTGTAAACATTTCAACATTATAAAAAAATATGTGAAAACTGGTTAAAATGCATAATTTTGATGCTGAATGTTCCTGAATACCTCCTACTTATAAGAAAGTTTTAAATTGTGAATATCAGGGAAACTATTTTACATTAGAAGAACAGTAAAGCACATGCGCGAATGAAGAGACATGAGGAGTTACTGCCCTTGTCAACATTTTTTTAAAGATTGAATAATAATTAATGAATAATTAAATAAAGAAAAGATGCATTTTTTAATATTATTTTATTTAACAACATTTACCAGTATACCTATTGATTCCTCCAGAAGAATTATTGTTCTATCAGGTATGAATTTAATCAAATAACAGTTTCTGCAAGAACCTGTGACATAATAGAAGATGGACTTACCGGTAACTTAAAATAATCAAATCGGATTCATTATATTCAGCGTTGGTATGGAAATAAGCAGAAAATATGTGCTTCAAAATCTTAAAAGTGTTCGTTTCCTTGGATACC